GAAAAGACTTTTATTTTTGACAAAAAAAAAATTGGCAACCCCTACCCCCACCCCATAAAAACATTTTTTAAAAAAAACTTTTTTTCGGAAAAATAAAAATTTTACTTTTAAAAAAAAATATTTTTTTTTTATCTGACCCTACCCACCCCCACCACCACCTCCCCCACCCCAGAAAAAAAATTTAAAAAGATTTTTTTTACCCCTACCCCTACCCCCCCCCACTTTCCACCCAACCTACCCCTAATTTTTTTGTTTTTCAAAAAAAAAACTTATGTTTTTCCAAAAAATAATAATTTATCCCTCCGCCAACCCCCTCCCCCCGGGCGCCCCCACCCTCCACCCAACCTATCCCTAATTTTTTTTTTTTTCAAAATAAAATAAAATAATAAATCCCCCCCCCCCCTCTCAACCCCACCCTCCAATTTTTTTTGAAAAATAAATTAATATTAGAATTTTTATTTTTTAGCACAATTTAAAATTTTTGAGTAGAAGTGAGAAGTGAGTGATCTATTATGGGTCTATATGGATACCCATATTTTACCAATTTTGACCATATTTGTAGGAGCTCTTAAAATAGCTTGAAGCTCATATTTACCCAATTAAAATAGGGAAAATTACAAGAGTTGGCAAACATCCCTAAGTTATTAGTTAATAAGGGTATAGTTTGATTTATTTACTGTTAATAAATATAGTTTCAAATTTTTGCCATAATTAATGGGACCCACCACCTCTTTGTATACCGAATCAACAAAGCCATTCAGTTGCTTTTATATAAAATTTTATACAAAATCTTTTTTATCTCTCCTATCCTCATTCCATATCTTTCTCCTAAAATCACTCTTCCACTTCTAAGTTGAATTTCGAATTTCACATTCTCCCTCCAATCGTGTTTCCACTTTTTGCAGGTAACAACCAAATTGTGGGTGAATCTATTTTTTCCGTTTTCAACAATTGTATATGTATTGTTTGTTAGTTTTTTGACAATTTTTTTTTTAAAAAATCGTTCTTCTTATCAGATTAACAGCAGAATGGATGATTCCTCTCCATTTATGAGGATTACTAGAGGTACGCCATTGAATGTCAAAGTTGTTGACAATCCACTGTCGTTTTCAATCGGATTAACTCAGGATTTTGGGGTCAATGCAGGTCTATGACAAAATCTAAACAAATTCAAGTTGAAAAGGCTATTGAAGAATTGAGATCTAAGAAAGAAAATGACTCAATTGTAATTCAGAAAGTCATCAAAATTGTGAAGGCTAGCGGCATTAAAATTGTTGAAGGAGGAAGTAAGAGAAAAGCCATAAACAGTGATTCAAAGGACATTGAATCTGCTTCATCAGATCTGGACAAACATGAAGAACATCAGGAACATCAGGTATTAGCTTAAAATAAAATTCTAGATAGATATTTGTATATGCCGTTACTTATGTGCAAATATACATAAAGTATTCTGATTAAATCACATTTGTATATAGATATATTTATACCAAATATTTCATGCTTAAATCACACTTGTATTACTTATTTGTATATATGGTTAGTTATACAAAAGCTACTTGAATTATAAGTACAGTTTCATGCCTAAATCACAATTGTATAATGTAATTTGTATATTCCATTAGTTATATACAAATTACTTGAAGTTATGTATTATGTATATTGTTAGTTGTATATTAAGGGATCGTTTGGTTGGGAACTAGTTATCCCAGGATTAACTATCCTGGGGTTAGTTATCATGGGATAACTTATCCCACCATGTATATGAGATAACTTATCCATCACTATGCTATAAATGGTGGGATAAGTTATCCCAAATATGTCAACCAAACAAGACATCTACATTTTATCCCAGGACTATTTATGCTTATCCCTCACACCAAACGAGCCCTAAGGGTTATATACAAAATTGATTGAGACAGTTGTATATTTTGGATATAAAAGTTTATAGATATATACAAAGGAATTACAAATACAAATACAATTTATTTATATAAATAATAATTTAGTTATATGTATACAATAATTACTTTAAAAGTTCTGGTACAATAAGCTAATATATTTGTATATCATAATTTAGTTATATTAACTGACAGTTTTTCTTGTTTATGCAAATTACTTTCAGAAATATAGAGCCAACAACGATGGAAATTAAAATCCTTCAACTGCCTTCTCCAACAATCTAGTGAGTTTCACCACACCCGCATATTGACTGTTCTGATCACAATCAAGCAATAGAGTCAGACGATGATTTTCAAAATCCTCCTGTCATTACCAACATAAAAGGAAAAGAGAAAGTCGTTGAACGTTCATCACCTGTTAAGAAAAAGAAAAGACAATTTGTCCCTGTTAGTCCAAAGAAGTCTCCACTAAAAGCAATTAAACTACCTCCAAGAAGACCAATGCCACGTCAAGACACACGATCACCACCAGCCAATATCAACAATGCTGATGTATACAAACAGATTACAGTACACTCTTTTGTATACAAACATATTTCAGCACACTCTTTTTATCTAATCATTCACGATTACCATATATACAATTGACATATGAATTTTATACAATCAGTTTAATCATTAATAAAAAAATAAAATTACACGACTTTACATATGCACATATACAAATATAATACATATACAAAATTATGGTAAATTATACAATTTCATAGATATATACAAAAAAAAATATGAAATAGATAAAATATACAAACATTACACAATTGTATATACAAGCAGACTACACCAATATTTTTTTAAAAAAAAATACATCACACCCTTTTTTCAGAAACAAGCACGATTGTCATATATACAATTTTCATATTACGATGGTCATATATACAATTGATAACACACAATCAACTACACATAAATATTGTATAGAAATTATATACGATTTCTCACATATATACAATATAATCAGTTCATATATACAAATAGTGTCATTAACGTTTGTGTGTTTAATACGATTTATCTAATATTGTATAAACAAGGGAAAATAGATAATTCCCCTTTTATACCATCACAATCGACACACCAGAAGAAATCGTTTCATAAATTCAATACTTACGCTATACTAATCAATTGTATACGATATTGCAGTTCAAAATATGAAGTTTCCTTCAATTAAACCTTACCTGTTATTGAATATACCAAAAAATTGATTAATCAGATGCTTCAGTCGTGCGCGAAAATAAGTTGTTATTGTCTTTCTATCGCTATAGAATTCTTTTTTGGGAAAATATTTGATTTTGAACGTTTAGCTTAAATCATGGGATTGGGTAAATTTATTGTTACCATATTTAGTGCTACTGTTACCATTCATTGAAAAAGTAAAATATTGTATAAATTTAAAACAAAAAAAACGTTTTATACAAATTTAAAGCCACATAACAAACTAAATTATACCCATGGAATGTAATTATGTAAACTATACCCATAGAATGTTATTTCCTAAAATTCGTTTTCCATATATGAAATTTTCCCATTAAAATATGTGTGATCCAAGTCATTAAATTTGGATTAAATGGACTCATTTCATTAATATGGATTGAAATTGCCACCCATAGACCGAATGCATCATCAAAGTCAATTTCAAGATAACGATGGAAAAACTCAACAACTATAACAACCTTATGACATTTAATCCATTAGATTTTTTTCTTTGCTTTGAAAACCCATTTACAACGAGTTATTCATATAGGAGATATTTATCCAAGAGTTGATACATATACAATTACATAAATAACCCTTAATAGATACATTAATTAATACCTAAATACCATATATATCAAAATGCTTCTTGTGAACCACTTACAATTCTCAAAGTTCCAGCTTGAAATGTTTAGTTAAGGACAGAAAGATTCGAACTATCCCACTGCTCTAAGTGACATACAATCACCTAACCATCAGACATCTTTTTTGACAAACATTTTCCTTTTAGTATTTCTACCTTTTATTTTCATTTCATTTATTATTAATATATGTATATCTAGTAGAAAAGCAAAAACACTAACGAGACAATATTATGTGATACCCCTGAAATCAAGATAAACTCTACTAGAAGGCTCAAAATTAGTAGCATAAAAGATAGTTCAGGAATGCTAGTGATATCTTTGACAAACGAAACAGTGTCATGTGACACCCTGAAATCAAGATCTCCAAGGCTCACAACTAGTAACATAAAAGATAGTTCATGAATGCTAGTGATATCTTTGGCAATCTCTTCTTCAGACTGAACTCTGTAACTAGCTAGCATTGTGACACTCTCGTGAAAGCTCCTGCTGTACGGCTAGTGAATTTGGGTCCCATCTCTTTTCCAAGTCAATATCTTGGAATATATAAATGAAACAAGATGATAATGATTCTTGATTGTTGTATCTCAAATTAAAGATAAACAAGTGATAGATATTTATTTTTTTGACAAGTGGTGTGCTTAATCCCAAAGGATTACCATCTAATTACAATAATAGAGTTATTAAGCAATCCCCATAAAACAACCATGTGAATAAGTCCCTATTAGTCTTAGGTTATTATTTATTTATATATATGCTATATGTGATAGAAAAGGACTAGTAACTAAAACTTATTAGATTTTGAGTATACTTTAATTTATGTGGCTCCTTTGAAATGAAAGAGGTGTAACTAAAATTGAAAATTTGTTTGGGGGATACTGATTCTTCATGCTCATATTTATGTGAATGTTCTTTTTCCATCTCTTCTTGTGGTTCCTAAGAATACAAATCACCAAAATTCTTTGCAATAATTTTTTGGGCCCACTTTCACCCCTTTTCCCCTTTCTTGATAACGCGCCAACTTGTTTGCACTTTGACTATTTCACCGATATACTACTATTTCCCACTAGGTACCTAGTAAATATTTGATCTCCAACTATTTTTACTTAACTTTATTGACTATGATAATTGATACCACACACTAGTAGGTGCATTCTCCCTCCCTTTATAAACAGCCCTTTGCCAACTCTGTTTTCACAACATACCAACTCTGCTTAGTCTCTTCTTCTTTGGCTCTTGCTATCTCTGTTTCAACATTTTTCACAACTTGTGATAATTAACAAATATCATTATGAGTTCGATGTCATCTCAACACGGTTCTTCAGGATCATGGACCGATAAACAAAACAAGGCGTTTGAGAAGGCATTGGCTGTGTATGACAAGGAAACTCGCGATCGTTGGTCCAATGTTGCTAAAGCAGTTGGAGGCAAGACTGCTGAAGAAGTGAAACGACACTATGAAATCCTTTTAAGGGATATTTTTTTTATTGACCATGGTATGGTGCCCTTCCCCAAATACAAAACTACTGGAGGAACCACCTCTGACTAACATTATTCTTACTAAAGGTATGCTCCATCAATCTATCTTCCAACGAATTTAAGTTATATGCACTAACATTATTATATGGCTAGTAATGTGTTATGCACTATAGGACCAAAAAAAATGTATGTGGTATTCCACATTACCTCAAAACCATGCAGGTTATGACTAACATTAAAAGATACTAGTGCTTTGTAAAGTGATGTCATAATCTAATTAAAAACAGTTAGTTTTATCTAATGTAAAAACAATAAGGCAACTATCATACATCACCCCTTAATTAATTCAACAAAAAAGCAGTGGTGGGGGGTAGTAGGGTTAGGTTGAGGGGCCACCTTCACAATATGGAACATATCTACGTATTACACATTCCTAACACGAGTATCCTAATAGGGACACACCATGGGACAAATGTAATCTACTCTCGATGGCTAGGTTCATCTAAATTTAATACTATATTTATTTTACAAAGTACTATATAAACAAATATATTTATAGTGATGACAGATAATAGATCTGCAATTGAATAGTTGATGTGCACACATAAATTGATTCTAACACGAAAGTACACCAACATCGTTTTGCATGAATATATATATGTTAACTTTAGTCCAAATTTTATTTAGCTAATTTATTCTAATTATTTTTCTCTATATGTTCATGCAGGATGCAAAACCTAACACTTCATTGAAGTAACAAACGTCAATAAGCAGACAGGAAAAGTGCAAATAATTGGCCTTGGAACCTGCCTTTTTAAATATTTAATTCAAGTTGTATATTTAATTTCTCTGTCCAATTAAATTTTAAACGCTGAGTCTATATTAATTACCTACGGAAGGAATCATTTGAATTCTGTCTGCTCTTGTACTCGTCATGTCTCCTCTAATATTAATAATTAGTTATATTGTTCCTTAAAATGAAGCGTGTATTATTTTATGACTCTATTTGTTACACTTGTTGTTACTTTATTCAGTAAAATGCAAATACTTTAAAGGGATCAGAATAAAATATAGTAAAGAACTAGATCTTCGATCTGATTCTCCATTCGTTGCTAGTTGAAAAGGATTTTGAAAATAGAACAAGAAAAATTAGAAACTAATTAAAAAATAATTCTCCACGTTATAATCCCCTCTCTGGGCCAATTCCCCTTCCCCTACGCCCAATTTATTAAAAAACAACTAAATATTCTACTTGTAACCTAAATAATATATGAACATCCGGTAGTAATTAATACTAGTAGTATATGTACACGGAACCAGAATTTTAAATAAGAATATTCAAAAAAAATAAATCATCAAGAATATCCAACAATTTATTTAAATAAAGAAAAGGTTTATATATATATTACGATTTTTTAACTAAAGAAATTCAAAGAATTTGCACATCTCTCTATCTGGACTAGGGGTGTGCACTATTTGGATTAAACCGAAAAACCAAACCAAATCAAATCGAATTCTAATTTGGATTGGTTTTCTGGATTTTTGGTCTGGTTTTGGATTAATAATTTACTTTGTTTGGTTTGTTGGTTTGATTTCGGATTTAGAACAATGAAAATCGAAAAACCGAAAAAAACCGATTTTATATATATATAATGTTTATAATTAAGTTGGAGTTAATCACTTTTGTCCTTTTTTAGTTATTTTCATTATGATTTAGTTTATTTTTTATGTTTGGACATCTATAATTGATATACTTTTAAGTATTGTGTTTTACGTTTTACTTGTGATTTATATTAAAAAATATATTTAAGAAATTCAATTTTATTATATATATATTATTTTTTCAAATTGCAAATATAACTTTGTTATGTTTCTAATAACTGGCATAACCAATCAACCGAACCGAAAAACCCAAACCAAACCAAATTTATTTTGGTTCGGATTGGGCACACTTCTTCAAAATTAAAAATCAAAAAATCCAAACCAAATAGTATAAAATCAAACCAAAAAATCGAATGGACACCTCTAATATGGACAGAAGAATCTTGACAATATCATCGGCATGACGTTCGCTTTGAAAGCAAATTCCTACATTCTAGGAAAATGAGGATTAATAACAATGTTTTTATTAAATGTAAAATTATAAAATTAAGAGATTGTATGGGAAAATATAAAGAACAAAGTAGCTTAGCTCTGTGTGAGATAACGTCTTATTAACTATGAGACTAAATTTATTTGATAATATAATTAATATTTTTTTTTAATTAATAATGTAATTTTAGATGAAAATGTCACAATACTTCGACATGATATCATAATAAGCAGTGACAGATTCATGATTTTCATTTAGGGGGTTCGAAAAATAAAAGTATACATGAGTGAATAAGTCAACAAAACACAATTCCAAAGAAGTAGTAGTATATAGTTTATAGGTACAAAAAGTTAGTTCCATTATAAGAGACCTTTTAGCACGTTTGAATTTCCTTCACGTTTGGATTTTTATAGCTTTAAATCTACTTTTTAGCACCTTTTTTTATATAAAAAAAAACAAAAAACAAAAAATGTAAAAGATTGGTGGGTCAATTTAAAAGGAGATTTACCAATATTTACACCTTACTTCTTGTTTATGAGGGGGTTTAAAATTAATATATCTACATAAATACAGAAAATTTGACTTATATATACATTATCATTTTTTACCAAGAAATTTTGGATGAACCATGAAACCCATGTGAATCCTCCCCTGATAACAAGGACATACGCGAAATATAATAAAATAAATAAAAAAAATAATGTGCTTCTCTAGCCGCTTTTAAACTTTAGATGAACATGGTCACAAAACTTTTAACAAATGATGGATCAAACTTAGAATTATATCTGAAATATTCCTTACAATATGAAGATTGTTTTTCTTTTCTTATATATTTGGCTTAATACAGTGTCAGATTTTTAATCTTGTCGGGATATTTTATGAAAAAAATATGGAAAATGGTAAAAATATCGACATATTTATGAAAAACAGTTATAATTTAAGAAAATTACAAAAAAAATACTATATGTTATTTTAATAGCAAACTCTCTCCTGTCCTCTCTCTCCTATCAATACGAACAAATCCATTCAAATATATTATGTATTAATTTAATTCAATCAAATATATGTTAAAATTTGTATTTTATATCAATTGTATTCGAAAATCGTATTTGTATTTTTATATCATTTGTATTTGTATTCATGTTGAGTTTTTATAAGAGATAACAATTCATACAAATACAATATCATTCTCTCTATCAAATGTATTATGTATCAATTGTATTCTATGAATACAGTTGTATTCATTGTATTTCAAATATAATTAATACATAATACAATACAGTTATGCACTAAATAAATACAGAATACAATGCAAAATTAATACAAAATACAATCATCCCTCCTCTCGATCTTGCTTGCCTCTCTCCTCCTAATTTATATTCATTTTGATACAAATCGATTTGTATTGTTTCTCCAAAATTCGCAAAAAAAAAAATACAAATGCGTAGCAAATCATTTTTTTTATACGAATTGTAATTAATGAAATTGTAACTATGGAGTTCTATTTAAGGCCTAATGTTTGTTGTTTTATTGAAAGTTTCTCTTTTTTTATTTTAACACTTCAACTAAGTTTTGTTCCAATTGCACACCAAAACTCCTGCTAAAGTGTTCAAACTAGACATTTTCAATTCAAATTTTGAAGAAAAAATTATGTGTATTTTTATCTATCTATAATTAAATTAATCATATAAAATATGTCATTTCCTTTTAAATATAATAAAATAAATAAAAAAATAATGTGTTTTCTCTAGCCGCCTTTAAACTTTGGATGAACATGGTCACAAAACTTTTAACAAATGATGGATCAAGCTTATAATTATAACTGAAATATTCCTTACAATATGAAGATTGTTTTTCTTTTCTTATATATTTGGCTTAATACAGTGTCAGCTTTTTAATCTTGTCGGGATATTTTACGAAAAAATTATGGAAAATGGTAAAAATATCGACATATTTATGAAAAACAGTTATAGTTTAAGAAAATTACAAAAAAAATACTATATGTTATTTTAATAGCAAACTCTCTCCCGCCCCCTCTCTCTCTCCTGTCAATACGAACAAATCTATTTAAATATATTATGTATTAATTTTATTCAATCAAATATAAGTGAGAGTTTTGTATTTTATATCAATTGTATTCGAAAATCGTATTTGTATTTTTATATCAATTGTATTTGTATTCATGCTGGGTTTTATAAGAGATAGCAATTCATACAAATACAATATCATTCTCTCTGTCAAATGTGTTATGTAGGGGTGTACAAAATCGAATCGAAAACCGAATCAAACCGCAAATCGAGAAAAAAAACCTGACTAGTGGTTGGTTTGACTTGGTTTGGTATTGGAAAAACCCCCCCGACTATATTTGGGTTGGTTTGGTTTTAACTAAAAAAAAAACAACCCGAGACCAAACCAACCCGATATTATATATATAATTTTAAAATTTTATTTTATACAAAAAATAGTTTCTTTGATATAATTTTTAAATATTTCTTATACTTTGTCATAGTTTTTATTTTTAATATATTATTTCAAGTTTGAAACTTAGAATTCTGAATGGTTCAATAAAGATTATAGTCCACATATATTGGTAATTATAATAAAGCTTAAATCAAAATCAAATTAATACTAATGCAAAAAGAAAATCAATTCAACACTAAGAATGACAATAATATTGAATATTTGTTCCTTGATTTTACATTGGTTTAGACAATTCAAATACATAATCTAATTTTAATTTCCTTTAATATCTAGTCATGTTACTAATACTTATTAAATTTATTTAGCATGATTTAGTACTTTTAAATTATGATCATTTTCATTATGACTTGTTAATTTGTAATATTTGTTTTAGGCATTATTTTTTTGTTGGATATTTTAGTGTCATTGCTCATATCATATTTTGTGTTATTTTCTTAAGAAACACCTTAAATAGTTGTATTTTGGTAGGACTAAAGAAATATTTGAAGTACAAGTAAATTATATGTTTGTATGAATACTTTACCGGAAAAACCCGAAAATCCAAAAAATCCGAAAAAACCCGAGGTTGAAAAATCCGAGTTTAATTGGTTTGGTTTGGTTTATAGATTTAAAAATCCGACACAAATGATTTGGTTTAATATTAGAAAAACCCGAACCAACCCGACCATGTACACCCCTAGTGTTATGTATCAATTGTATCCTATGAATACAATTGCATTGCATTTTGAATACAATTAATATAGAATACAATACAATTATGCCCTAAATAAATACAGAATACAATGCAAAATTAATACAAAATACAATCATCTCTCCCCCCTCTCGATCTTGCTCGCCTCTCTCCTCCTAATATATATTCATTTTAATACAAATCGATTTGTATTTTTTCCTCCAAATCCGCCAAAAAAAAATAAAATTACAAATGCGTAGCAAATCAAAAAAATTTATACGAATTGTAATTAATGAAATTGTAGCTATGGAGTTCTATTTAAGGCCTAATGTTTTTTTTTTTTTTTGAAAGTTTCTCTTTTTTTATTTTGACACTCCAACTAAGTTTTGTTCCAATTGCACACCAAAACTCCTGCTAAAGTGTTCAAATTAGACATTTTCAATTCAAATTTTGAAAAAAAAATTACGTGTATTTTTATTTATCTATAGTTAAATTAACCACATACAATATGTCATTTTCTTTTAAGTCTACCCATCAACCTCAAGTAGTATTCTTTGGATTTTACATTTTGAGGTGTTTAGGAGTTTAATGATATAGGTGATGCCGACCATTTGGTACAGTTAGTTCAACTACCTATTGCAGTGCTCGAGAGTATTAATTTAAGGGATCCTAATTCTCTCCCTTTGCCACATGATAATGCAAAACTTTTGATTCGATGAATAAATTAATAATGAA